CATTGGGGCTGAAAGACTGAACAGTGTCCCCAGTTGGAGCTGCTGGTAAAGACTGTTCAGAAAGTGTGCATCCAGGCTAGAACATTGTAGCAAGATCGCTGACTGAAGCAGGGCATGGGGAACAAGTTCCATAAGAACTCTGCTGAGTTTCATTTCATTTCTGGACAGGTCAATGTGCTGGCTCTTCCCCTGAAAGGCCTCAATGGTGTGGGAACCAGGATTCTTGACTCCCAGTCCCATACGAACTTGCCTGTCAGCTAGAGTCTTCAGGAAAGGCCCTGTTCTGCATGCGTCCATCTTCTGAATTGAGGGAGGGAGAGAGGGGGGCCACCAGGGGCAGGGCCTTGTAGTGGCACCTCATTTCAGGGACATCTTCCTTCCACCTGTTTGCTTTGGCATCTCCAGAGATGAAGATGCCAGGTGCAAACGATTCTGTTTCTTGAGATCTTTGGGAACAGGCAAACGTGGTTTCATCTCCCCTCTTCCTGCCCTTCCTGCCAGTCTTTTTTAAAATTGCTTTTCAAGTTTTTACAGTTTGGTATGCTGCTGTTCATACTGTTGTTTAGCAAACAACTTTTAGAGCATTTTCCTCCTTTTGATGGCTTTATTGCAACCGCTGGCTGTTGCTTCGAGTGACGTTGCTTCAGGAATGCTTGGACAACAGGCAGCATAAAACCATTTCAATTAAAGTGCATTCCAAAAAGAAACAATCTGTTCACAGGGCCCAGAGGACTGGACAGGAGCTGTCGGCTTGCTTTCCCATTCTTCCCGTCCCGAAATGCAGCTGACCTCTCTTTCCTGTTGAGCTCTCGCCAGGTGTTGCCACAAGCCCTGGCCTGGCCGACCCAGGCTAGTCAGCTCTCGCCAGATCCCAGAAGCTAAGCAGGGTTGGCCCCGGTTAGTACTTGGATGGGAGACCTCCAAAGAAGTCCAGGGTCACTGGGTGAACTTGGGCCAATCACACTCTCTTGACCTCACCTACCTCACAGGGTGGTTGTGAGGATAAAATGGATATTAGGAGAATTATGTAAACTGTTGTGGGCCCCCACCAGTGCTCCCTTTAACGATGGAGTCCTGTGAGCAAAAATTCTACTTTGTGAGCTCCTGGCATTAAAGTTGTGAGCGAGCCATTTGGCTGCTGCATAAATTAGTTTGTTCTGGTGCCGTCCTCCCTGAGCTAAGACAAAAAGGTGTGAGCCGGAGGCTAAAAAACTGTGAGCTAGCTCACAATAACTCAGCTTAGAGGGAACACTGGTCCCCATTGGGGAAAAAGGTGAAAGGTGGGGTGCAAATGAAGTAAATGAATAAGTGGAACCCTCCTGGCTGGCAGCACCTCCTCCCTGACTGGAGCCCCTCAGTGCCAGGGGTGGCCAAGCTTGCTTACTGTCAGAGCCACGTGGAATAAACGTCAGATGTTTGAGAGCCACAAGACACGGACAAAGACCACACACACGTTTTTATTGGAAAATATGCAAATTTGCTTTTCATGAACATTAAATGAAATGGGGAAGGGACAGAGTAAGTGGAAGGATGGGGGGGAGAAAGGTGAAAAGAAAGCAACTTTAACTTTAAATGTGCCCTCCAGGTCAGCTGGCTTCGCTTAGAGAAGGCATTTAAAGTTAAAGTTGCTTTATTTCTCTGCTCCCCCCACTTCAAGCCTACCCAGGAAGGGGAACACCAGCTGGGGAAGGGAAGACCAATTGGGGAGGAATGCCTCCCCTTTGCTTCCCCAGCCGCCCTGCTGAAGAGCCACATGCTGCCCCCGAGCCACAGTTTGGCCACCCCCTGCTCTCTCCCTACAAAGGTTTTGACTGCCTGACTGACTGCCTGGAGTCCATCCTGTCTCTCCGTGTTTCATGATGATATCTTTTTAATACCATGGAAAACTGGCCTGCACAGGCAGCATCAACTCAAGCAAAACCTTTTTCTCAATAGCTGGCTTTGTTTAGCTTCCACCCTGCCTGTGACGCTGGATCCTTATGTAGTGCTGGACGGCCACAGATGGTGATGTTGCTTTAATGAACCCGGCTTGTTAGAGAAGCCGAACAATGGATGAGTCCCTGCATGCACCTACTGAGACTCCTCCTTTGGAGGGCTAGAGGACCCTTGAAGCCTTGTATTTGTGGCTGTTTGAATTAAAATCTTACAACGCAAGACAGAAACAAGAGGAAACCACAGTCTTGCAGCGGAGAGGATTGGCATTTTCTTTCTTCCTTTCTTGGCTCAGTAAGGTGCAGTGAGCCTGAAGTTTTTAATAATCAAGCCCATTAGCAACCATTTTAGGTGTTTTGTGGGGTTTTTTTGTGGGGGGGACACACACAGCATTTACAAATTAATTGAACTCTGAAGGGAATAACCAGTCACAGGACAAGGTATGTCAGAGATGATTTTAAAGGTGTCCCCCTCTGGTAATTTTTTTTGAACTTTACAATGAACACCCATTGATTAGGAGGCAGGCTGGCAGCTAAAAAGGCAACAATTAATTTCCATTTTTTAAAGCCAGGAGCTCAAACTCAAGGATGCCACTCACATTAAAAGTAATTCCCTGGCTTTGCGGGCATGCCTTCTCCATTGTTGCATTTGAAGACTGAACCCAGCAAAGCCCATATTGGCCAAGGAGCATGAGGTGACCCATCAACGTAGCAGGTTGAGGATTTTCCAACAAAGCACTTGAGCGTATCAAAGTATATTATAACATACAACAATATTAAAGCAGATACTAATACACAAAAGAATGGTAAGTTTCAGGTGAACGTCTATCAAAATGCAAGTGAATCCAACGAAAACCTCCAGAATGACTCTTCGTTTCGCCTCTTCATCAGAAAAATTCCTATGCTTGTCTAGTTTCATTCATACCACAGTTTGACATATCATATAAAAATATTCTCCTCGTTTTTCTACCATAAATACATTCTTAAAACAAACGTTTCACCGGGCGTGACTTAGTTCATGATGCAAAGTGCCTTCACCAGAAAAACCAGGAGAAGATTTGTATATGATATATCAAACTGTGGTGTGAATGAAACTAGACAAGCATAGGAATTTTTCTGATGAAGAGGCGAAACGAAGAGTCATTCCGGAGGTTTTTGTCGGATTCACTTGCATTTTGATAGATGTTCACCTTCACCTGAAATTTACCATTCTTTTGTGTATTAGTATCTGCTTTAATATTGTTGTATGTTATAATATACTTTGATATGCTCAAGCCCTTTTTCTATCAGTCTGTGCTTCGTTTGTTGAGATAACACAGGGGACATCTAACTCACTCTCCACGCATTTCCCTGGTAGAAACCCTTTCTAGCTGCTACAAAAAAAGGAGTAACCTGTATTTTTCATCAGGGCTAATAGCAGCTCCAGTCCCAACTTCAAGCAGGGAAAAAGTGAAGGAGGAAAGGACTAATTCCCACCCCCTCCTCAATTCAAGCCTTCCCTCTCCTCGGCTCGGCTAATGTGCAGTTCACTCATCATTCATTCATAAGTTAAATTTCCATTCCGCTTTTTGCCCATTGTGGACCTCTTGAGTGGTGGAACACGGAGGTCCCAGAAGTTCTCCGGGCCAGACACTGATCAGGCCCCGCTGAAGGATATACATTGGACTGAAGGATATACATTAAATTGAACTGGGAGCTCAACGCACATTATATATTTATGTACATTATTTATAGTCCGCCTTTCTCTCTGGGACTCAAGGCAAGTTACACAGAGGGAGTCAATACGGTCGACAGGACGGGACATTCAGTCAACAGTGCAATAGGTTTAGGATTGTAGAATCCTGGAAACAGTGAGAAATCGAAAAACAGAACTGAAGCAAAGCAATAAGTGTTAACATGGCACATTAAACGCTGCAAGATTACATAGTAGGATTTGCTTACAGGCAGCAATACACAATTGTATAGTCTGCAGTCCCTAGTCATTAATCTCAGTAACCTTGTGGATCATTCTGTACAGTGCAACCCTATTGCCTGAAGAGAAAAGTTCTCTGGAATAATGCAGTTTTGCCTGGCTTGTGGAAAGCCTGGAAAGGGAGGGGTGGGAATAGAGATGTAAAATTTCCGAAAATTTTGAAGCTCGGAACCTCCCCCCCCCCCGATTTCCCCCCTTTTTTGGGGGGGGGGGACGGAAATTTTCGGAAAAATTGAAAAACAACTTTTCTAGATTGAAAGTCATTCTGTTACTTTAGGAACATAAAATATGATTATGGACATTTTTACTTGGCATGAAATTATCACAACTAGCATATTAAAAATATAGTGTATCCAAACAATTATTACAAACAGAATACCCACCCACATGCAAAAACAAAACTGAAACCTTTTTCTTTTCTTGTGACAATAGCACCTCCTAAAGGAAGAAATGCATCTTGTTCTTGCATTGGAGAGTTCAGTTTGTAACCGAGGACTTGCTTGTCCTAGGTGCACAGAAATTAGATCAATCTGATACCATACATATTTTTTAGAAATTATTTGGAAAATATATGAACACCTTGTCTTAAAATATTGTATTCCTCATGTTAAAATAAAATGTTCCATAATCAATTTTTTTTCTTTTCTTTTTTCAATTTTTCCATTTTTTCGGAAAAAAACAAAAAAGGCTTCAGGAAAAAAATGGAAAAAGCCATTTCCCCCCCGAATTTTTCTGTTTTTTCCCCGGGCTTTCACATCTCTAGGTGGGAGGCCTTCCTGAGCTCTTCAGGCAGACTGTTCCATCAGGTGGGGGACACGATGGAGAAAGCCAAATGCATGGGTTGTTGTTGATTTCGCCCATTTGCTTCACTGAAATCAATGACCACTCAAGTCCTCACTAGATCATCCTTGGTTCCCTTTTATTTCCCAGCAGGCGTGCTTAGGAGACGATAGCCTTTATCTTGTTTCGTTGGGTCATGTCCATTGACGAGTACCGGCAGATACAGTTTGGGTGTGGTGTGTTATTCTCTGACTTGCTGCTAGCGTCCCTGCGTGTACAGACAAGTTTTACAACTGGTCTTCCCTTGTGTATTGCAGGTGAAACGGCAAAACATCAGAGCTCCGCTGAACAGCGAGAGAAGATATATTTTAGGTTTAGGGCGCACAGAATGGAAGCCTAAGCTACACCGCCATCCCCCATGACATCCCGAAGACATTATTCGTTACCACGAACTCTGATGACTCCTCGCTTGTATTCCGAGGGGGCCCTGGGGGGCATCGCCCAGATCACCCCCTTCCTGTACCTCAGTAAGGGAAGCGTCGCCGCCAACCGACAGCTGCTGCTGGCCCGCGGGATCACCTGCATCGTCAACGCCACTATCGAGCTCCCCAATTACAACTTCCCTGAATTTGAATATGTCAAAGTGCCTGTGGCTGACATGCCCAGTGCCCCCATCTCGCTGTACTTTGACAGCGTGGCCGACAAGATCCAAAGTGTGGCACGGAAACATGGGGTCACTTTGGTCCACTGCGCGGCTGGCGTGAGCCGTTCGGCCACCCTCTGTATTGCGTACCTCATGAAATACCAGAACGTCTCCCTGAATGAGGCCTACAACTGGGTGAAATCGAGGAGGCCTGTCATCCGTCCCAATGTGGGATTCTGGAGGCAACTTATAGATTATGAACAAGAGCTGTTTGGGAGGAACACCGTGAAAATGGTACAGACTCCCTACGGCATGATGCCAGATGTTTACGTGAGGGAGAGAAGGTCCTTCGTGTCTTACTGGGGTGGGGTTTGAAGAGAAGGACGGGGAGAAGAGGATGTGATGTTCTGAGCCCAGAAGACTGGAGACCATTTCCTTCTCTTCTCATGATCACCGTCGGCTCCTTCCCTACCAGACTCAGAACCTCGGAGGAGTTTTCAAAGCACTAAACCAGCAACCCCTGAATTTGGGGGGCCTTAAACCCAAACCCTGTGGAGTTCACTTTACAGCAAGGTCTCCTTTGCAGAGATGTACAGCCCCAAGGAACATGCGCCTGCAAAACTGATTTCAACAGCATAATTCATGAAGCCAAGCACTTGAACTGGTGGAAAATGTGACCCGAAATATTTTTTTGCAACACGGTGGATTTTATTTTTTTCTCTTTGGATATTATTTTTTCTCTTCATTGTAATGCACAACTTGATGATTAAAAACTCTCACAGGCAGAACTGGAGAGCTACTCTTTCATGTTGGATTTTTAAAAAAAATATCAATTCATGATTGAAACAGAAAAACACTATGCTTATTGCAATCTTAAATTATGTAGAGACTATTCCAGAAAGCTTTTCTGTCTCCTTCAGCTTTTTAGTTGGAGGGGGGGGAAATGCTAACCAGACAATCTGCCACAAATAAAATTATTTAGACTACTAAACTGCCGTGTTCCTTTTCTCTCTTTGTGGATCTTGACTGTTCATCCAGCACATTCAACATTCCGACCACTGTTTTTGCACATCTGTATCACCGGCACTTAAAAAAACCCTGCACTGAAAAATGTCATATTTTGCAAATTATGTAAAGTAAGCATATATTTGTATAATGTATTTTGCTTATATGTTTGCCCTCTGATTAGCAGAATAAACCAAAACCTCACCTGCTCAGCCCGAGCCCATCTTCACAGTCTCAAGGGACAGAAACACGCTTTTGTGTTTTTAACGAGAAATAAGACCTCAGGAGGCTGAATTTTGTGCCCATTGTCACAGCACACTCACGGAGCATAACTATCCATCACAACTGGTACCTTTTCCAAGAACCAGTATTTTTTTAAAGCCCCTGTAAAGCTCCCTTGCATGCAATAAACAAGTGTCTCAGGGAGAAGGGCTATTGTAGAATGTTCCTTGTGATGGATGAGTTCACTACATGCAGGGAGTCATTTATGGAAAACCCACCCCCCCCCCCCCCCCCCCCGCAAACCAATGGGAAGTGGCACATTCCATAATTCTATCCTGGCATTCTATGTAACAAGTAGAATTTCTCTTACCAACGTCACATATGTGGCTGGCCTGACTATAAAGCATTTTGAGTGAACTATTTTTTTAAAGTCCTGACCTCGATGGCCCGGAATAGCCCAACCTCATTAGAACTCAGGAGCGAAGCCAGGTCGACTCTGGTATTACTCAGATGGGAGACCACCAAAGAAGCCCAGAGTCGCTAGGCAGAGACAGGAAAACCACCTCTGTTTGTCTTTTGCGCTGAAAGCCCTACGCGGTCAGGTCGCCGTAGGTCAGCTGTGACTTGACGGAACTTCTCCCACCACCACCATTATTTAAAACAGGTAAACAGCAGGCCTGGCTGGCAGTCTAACAGCAGCAGTTTGTTACGTAAGGAAAACCCAAAATTCTACTTTGTGAGCTACTGGAATTAAAGTTGTGAGCAAGAGATTTCACTGCTGGATAAACTAGTTTGCTCTGGAGCCCTCCTTCCTGAGCCAAGACAAAAATGTGTGAGCCAGAGGCTCAAAAACTGTGAGCTAGCTCACACTAACTCAGCTTAGAGGGAACACTGCCACCAAGCCATTCTAACCCGCTCCAGCCCCAATAAAACAGTAGGTAACACAGGCTCACTAGTCTAGAGACAGCAGCGCTCAACCCTCTGATCAGTCTGAGAACCAAACCAGCCCATAAATTGGTCACTGGATCAGGCTGGAAACAGAGAGCACCATTTCCCTAGAAGTCTCAGCACGGTCAGTTTAGTATTACAGATATTCCGCTTCCAAGGAAAGCCAAATCAGTCACCACGGAGCTGACTGGCGGGAACTGTTTCTCCTCCCCTCCTGCAGATTAGATTATCTGTCGTGCCATCGGCACCAACCCAGCCCCGGCTGTTATACTGGATGGCACCCACTAAACCTCTTCATATCAAAGTTGGTAAAGCTGTTCTTGTCTGTACTATCAAATCGCTGTTTAAGCCAACATGCTTAAATAGTACAAAGTTTGGGTCCAGTGGGGGCACCTTTAAGACCAACGAAGTTTATTTCTGGGTATAAGCTTTTGTGTGCGTGCACTGTGAACAGTGGATACCCAGAAGTAAACTGTGTTGGTCTTAAAGGTGCCACTGGATTCAAACTTTGTTCTGTTGCTTCAGGCCAACACGGCGACCCCCCTGAATCTATACTTAAATAGTCTTTGAGACCTTCCAGTAACCAAAGCACGTTTCTTTTTCCACTGGACAGCGCTATTGTTTGGTTAAATGGCTACAGCTTCAAGCAACAAGTATATCAGTTGTAGATTTTCCGGGCTGCATGGCCGTGGTCTTCGCATTGTATTAGCTGACGTTTCACCAGCAGCTGCAGGTACTACAATGCCCAGACCACGGCCATACAACCCGGAAAATCTACAACAACTAACGAACTCCAGCCATGAAAGCCTTTGACAACATCACAAGTATATCACTGCACGGATGTTAACTGAGTATGAACTTTCAGCAGTTTTTTGACTGAGGAACAATTCTGTACCAGATTTGAATATCTGATATAAAATCAGACGCTTGGCCAGTTGGCTGAAACTGATAACTTGATTTTGATTCTTTTTTTTTTAAAGTTACTAGCCCTCAGGGTGGTAAACATCAGGGAAGCCAGCACCACTTGGACAAGGAATGCAGGATTAGTCAGGAGACAGGTCAGGACTGCAGTGGGAGAAGGACAATTGAGAGTGCCAGTTCAATAATCTGTAAGGTCTTGTGAAGTTTCGATGTAAGAAGAACCCTGCTGGTTCAGAGACCAGTGATCCATTTAGTCAGGCTTCCCAGATTCGAGTCCCGTAGCACCTTAGAGACCAATGAGATCTTTCAAGTATAAGCTTTCAAGAGTCAAAGCTCCTTTTGTCCAACTTCAAGTTTCCCACCCTAGTCAACCAGATGCCTCCAGAAAACATAAAAGGCCAGTGTATGTCAGCCAAAGCCTCACCCTTATTTGTTGCACCCCAAGAACTAGTATTTAGACGGACAGCCTGTCCCTGACAAGAGATGGCAAAATAGCTCTGAATGTGTCTTGCCTTGAAAACCCTACAGGGTTGCCACAAGTTGCCGCAACTTGATGGCGACTTTTCCCCACCACCACTGCCCCTGAACAAGGAGGTTTCATTTCGCTGATGACCACTGACGGATCTATCCTCCTTCACAAATTTGTCTAATTAAAAACCACCTAAGATAATCACCAGAGAGTTACACAAGTTAATTTTTGCTTTGGGTGAAGCAGTGCTTCCTTTTGTTGGTGCTGAATTTACCAGTCTTATCCCTCCCTCCCCTGAAATTCTAATAGTTGGGGATATGGATAAAAGAACAGACTTCACAGACTGACTGAAATAAAATAAGAGAGGTTTTTTTTTAATTGAGAATCAGGAACATCACAGGAATCAAGAAGAGTCTGTACACACAGTTGCAAGTGAAGCAGATCAGTTTTAAGTTCTCAAGTTTTAAAAATATCAACACCACCACGCCACAAAATAAAACAAGAGATGAAATCATAGCTGTAACAGCCACAAAACTCACGGTAGCTTCAGAAAATACACACATTAAAAAGAGTTTTCCCATGGTCATATAGCTACACGACACTTTTTCCCACCTGAAAAAATGGAATTAAATAAAAAGTAAGCATAATACCAATGTGAGTTAAAGCAGTGGCAAAACAGCAGCCGGTTCTTCTTTTGCAAACATGAAATTCCATTCATTAATCTCTAAGGGAATATATTTTTAAAAATTATTCTGATCCCTTTGTAACATATTCATGGTCATAACTTACAAGGGTAGCACTTATCTACTCCGTTCCCTCCCCTTCCCCCCGTTTCCCAAATGAAAAGCATATCACAAAGTTCCCTAGAATGCTGAGGGAATACGGCCCTGATTCAGAGCAAGGCTGACATGTTTTCCATACTGCTGAAACAGAGGACCTAAATAAATTGTGACCAGCTTGGGATTGACAAGGTTCGAGCGTGACTTTCTCGGGGCAGCCTTCGCCACGGGGACTGCTATCCCACCCTCCCGCCCAAGCACTATGTTGGAGAGGATTCTGGGTAAACACACCCACATTTCCTGGCTAGCCCGGCCTGCTGCATATAGGACACGATGCCGCCACGGTTGGAGGGGGTCACAATGCTGGAGCTACGAGGTGGAGACTTCCATGGGTTTGCTCAAAGGCTGCCCACCCACAAGAACCCAGAAGACAGTTAGTATATGCTGGGGGTTCCTATCGACAGCTATGGCAGGGAAAGGGCCACACGCACATGAGAAACTTTTGCTTCTCACAGCAGAAAATGGACAGGACTTAAGAGATTCAGACTTCGTACTCGTCCGGACTGCGGGCTGAGTTAAGACCTGCAGCACTTTTGTCCCCTACGGCCCGGCTGGGTCATACCCGTTGTATAAAACACAGATGGAGCCCAGGATCGGGTTTCAATTCCACCCTCCCGGGTCATGTTCATTTATGAACATTTGGTTGTGTGGGTGTGCCAACAGCACTAATGGAAGCAAACTGCAATCGGCCCCTGCCAAGTCAAGGGAAACAGAAACGCGGCCTAACAGGGAATCCCCACCCAGATGCTCCCCCCTTGGGACCGCTGCGATCGAGACCGGCACACAAGCAATACAGTGGAGAACTGTCCAGCCGCCCATCTCCCTCCTCCTCGGAGCCAGGAAGAAACATCATGAAACTCACTTCCGTACCCATTTTGCTCACTTCAATACACAGGGGGAAAGGTGCATTTTAAAAAGCAATTACCCCCCCACCCCCACCCCCATGGTTAAACCCTGACAGATTAAAACCCGCCCTCTATTTGTTAACCTGCATTCAGTTAAAAAGAAAGAAACAGCAGACCCTGACACAATGAAGTCTGGAAAATACGGTAACCTTGGATACAGTTTCCAAGGACACCGGGCCCTCGGCTAACCGAACAACAGCGGAGGGGAAGGCGAACGCCAAGCTGGAGTGGAACCTTTTGAACAGGGCTGTGAGCAGAATAACCTCTCCCAGTGCGACCGCTTATCAGTAAAAATGTAAAACTGTTCATGGCGGGCAACACACAAGGCAAACGGCTGCGTTCTTAAAACACCTTTCCTTCAGCAGATAACATTAGTAATACAACCTGGCCGGCTATTTGTCCCCTCTGGTATCTTTTGAGGGCCAAATATGGCCACAATTCAATAAGCTCTGTTGTAATTATACTTGGGGATTCGGTCTCCCCCCCCCGCGACACGGCTGAAAGGCAGGCGGGAGTTATCGAGAGAGAGTATTTGCACAAGAAGTCAAAGTGGCAGTGGCCCCCCACCCCTGAGCATTCCAGCGCCAGCTGACACACCTGCCACTTTTCAACGGCTTGTGGCGTGAGGGTTTGTTGTAGCCTTGTATCTCTGAAAAACCCTTTCCTTCCCCAGCACAACTGTTATGTACACATACTGGTCTGATTCAGCAACACACAAAAGATTATTCTCTCAGTTTTGTGTGTGTACAGTTTGACAAATGCTGGAGCCAAGAAGGGCACCCCCACCCCAGGAGGGTCTTTGCTAGCTGCATGGCAAAGAGACAGCTCGCTGGATGTGCCACAGCCTGGAGTAGAAAATATATGCCACTTGACAGATGCTGTAACATCACCCCATGACCCCCAAAAGCAAAAACCAGGTTAAACATGGGGCTGAAAAGGCCAAGATGGCACCGCTGGGTGCTGCCATGCACCAGGGATAGAGCAATGCACAAATGCCTCATGGCATCTGCACCATGGCCCTAATCCTCAGGACTGGCATAATGGCCCTAGGGGCAAGAGACCGTCCCACCTCTGCCATTTGAGACATTTAAGTGCTTCACACGCCCACCCCCCTGCGGAGCTGAAGGGGAACCGAGGACACTCCCTGTCTCCAGCTCAAATGGCACCCTGCGTAGCATTTATGCCTTGGGAGTTCAGCCACATGTCACTTTGGGATATAGTAAAATGGCCACAAGCTTGATAGCACCACATCTGCTAAACAGAAAAGTTCTTGTCCAGATGTGATCTCGTGCAGCAAGAGACGCTATTTACTATGCCGGACTGGGTTTCAACTAGCATCTAGTGAAATACATGGCAAACACATTGTAACCTGCATTCAGACAACCACGGAAAACTGATTACAGGGTGACACTCCAGCTTCTGATGAAAACAACAGCAACTAAGACCTTCGCCAGTATCTTACTCCCTGGAAACAGCCACCATAAAGAGTGTTTGGAATGGGTTTGCCAAGCTGTGTGCCTGCTGCTCCCTAGCTCCCAGGTGTTCAGCCCCGTACTTTTTGCGGTTCAGAGCAGGGGGGAGTTCGGCAGGACCTCCTTCCCCCACGGCTGGAGTACTGCGATGAGAGAAGCCGGAGCCTGCTTCAGTTTTCTATTCCGTGTGACTTTAACAGTCATCTTAACAGGTAGCAAACCTGGCACCTGCGCTTCTAGCCTTGTGCCTCTGTTTCAGCAGATGCTGGTCATGAACGAGGCATGCAGGAAAGTTATCCTGCCCAAGGGTGTGAGGGGAAACTTTCAAAAGGTCACCCCAAACCAACAACTGAATGGTGCCTGCAGCTGAATAGGAAAAGAGGATGCTGCGTTACTGAGGTCAAGAGTAACCAGGCCAGAGATGGCCACCAAACATTGCAGCCCAACTGCACAGCACACCAAGCCACCTTTGACTAAAAATGAATGCCACATGGTGGAGAAGTGGGTGTGAAGCAGAAGACAAAGACTGCTCCTTCGTAGGCCAGTTTCCAAAAAGGCAAAACCTCCAGGCTCTAATGCTCATCAGACCCCTTGCCTTGTTACATCTAATAGAGAAGCCCTATACTATTTTAATGTTACGGCATGAGACGTTAAAATGAAGAAAATGGCTTTAGATTTCTGCAGCTTTGGTAAGGCAGAGCTCTAAGCCACCATGAAACTAGTTGCTTGAAGTTGAGGACAGGCCAACCCTTCCCCCTCCCCAACCATAAGCAGGCCAAAAAAAAAAGGGTTTCTATCAGAGCACATGTCAGAAGTGACACATTAATCAACAGACGATAGCATTTTTGCATAGAGAAACCGCTCTGTTTCCCACAAGTTGCACAAGTCGCATACAGTGGTAATGCCCTTGAGAAAGATGAGACGCACTTGTTCATTACGAGACCCCCCCTGAATTCATACTGCCACTTAATTAAAAAATAAATAAAGATTCCAGATCCTGCACTCATTGGGACATGCCCGCACAACGGAACACGAATTGCTTTCAAACTGCCAGGGCCTTTTGCCTGCATCCAAACAATGCGTTGGATCTCAAGAACACCGAAGCTCTTCACCCAGTGCAAGGAGCATTTCCCCAGCTGAAGTGCAAAACAGCCTCTTGCTTTGGGAAGGCACCTTATACTGGTGCCAGAGAGGGCCAGAGAGGTCTGCCAGAAAACCTGAGTCTGCAGCCTCCTAAAACATACAGTTCTGCACATTCCTTGTGGGAGGGGAGGTAGGCTTAGGATCCGGGAGAGGGAGAGACGGAGAGGATCATTTAAGACCTTGTTGAAAACACACAGCCAGCCTCCTTTAGGCTTCTGGAGCCAGGAGACTAGGTTTCTCAGTCCCTTTTTTTTTTTTGGGGGGGGGGGGTGCTCTCATTTCCCACCTCCCCAAATTTAGATTCAGTGGTTCATCACACCTGAAAGAAAGTGCTAGTCTAATCATACTCAAGAAACGCAGCAATTTGTGCCTCAGTGCAAAAAAACCCCCCAAAACACCCTCATGAATTGGACTGCTTTCCAAATCCTTCTCTGCAAAGTCCTTCACTTGGAGATAAATAGTGGCTTCCGCCTTTTGAAACAGAGCCTGAAACCAATATTTTATAAATACTCTAACCACTTGCTCGGAACAGTTTTCACATTTATTGCCCCGCCCCACCCCTACAACCCACCTATTGGACAAAGTGGACAGAAGTCTTCACAGCAGGTCAGGCAGAATGAGACCGGGGGGTTTGGGCTCCACACAGTTGATCCAGAAGTTGGCACAGCTGGCATGGTACTGGTGCCCTCCGTAAGCAAGTTTGAAATTGTCAGTCTCCGAATTAAAGGCCTGGGAAGGAAAAATACAAAATGCATTAGAAACCTGTTGTGCTCTTGTGTGCTTGGGGAGTTCAGTGCCACAGGGGAAGGGTTGGATCATGGCACATACGGTCGCACCGATGCACTATGTACACACACTACATTTTTATGGCATTTCGTAACTGCTCTGTTACCATGGAACTGTTTAATGTGGATCTGGGAGGATATATGTTAACAGGCCCTGCAAAGAACAGGGCCATGGGTGGTCCCAAAGAATGTTATGTTGTCCAGGTAGTGTCTGTAAAACAGCTCTTTTAAAGAAGTGGGGCAACTGAGAGAAAGAGAGGTATAACACTGCCCCCAGCCATTCATTGCGACTACTGGGCTGCAGCATCCTGCACTCCCCCCCCCCCCGCCATAACCAGACTTACATACAGGGGTCATTTCCTGTAGGAGCGCACAGGAGTGGAGCTCCGGCAGTAAAGAGCCCAGGGGGCGGGCACATGCAACAAGCCCCACCCCCTGCTCCCAGCAGCCCTCAGTCAGAGCAAGAAGCAGCCAGGTAAGCTGCAGAGCCCCCTCGCCCCAAATCAGTCCGGTAGCACCATTAAGACCAAGTTTTGTTCAGGTACAAGCTCTCCCTCCTCTGCGAGGACAGATCTGCACGCCCCCCCCCCCCAATAGCTAGCCATCCAAAACAGTCCAGTGGAGCCTGAGCGGTGGGTGTTGCCTTCTGACACACTTCCAGTGAGGTCAGGGGGTGTGGCAAATGCAAATAGGTTATGCCAATGAGCTCCTGCACCTCTTTTTCTACAAAATGACCCCTGCTTACATCCACACGATCCACCTTTAGAACTAATCGGAATTTGAGGCAGGTTTGCAAATCCAAGGTAAGAGGAAACATGCTTAGCATTATTCAGACTCAGTGCCAGGGCACAGGCAACACTGCACCACGCTTATGGCTGACAGATGAAAGTATGTGAGGAGGACGCTTCAGAGCAGCAACACTCAGGGGCTTAGGAGCCCACACACGGCTCTGTGACACTCCCCCCCCCCCCCATGGCTCTTCTGAGAACTGTTTTCCAACGTGGCACTTGCCCCATGTTCCGGAAAAGTGGGCAAGACCCTTGCCCAGTGGAGACTGCGGCTGGCAGGTGGTTTCCACCTTGAAATTGTTGCCACCGGAAGAACAAGTAAGATGTGAGCCCCGCTGAGGTGCTAGCCTCATGCCAGGGGTGGAAGTCAATGTGGCAGAAGCCAATGTGGCCCTTTCAGTTGATGGATACTGCACATGTGGCTCTCTGAGAATCAGCCTCAGAAAGTGATGGGCACTTTCTCCCTCTGGACAGCGGTACTCAAACTGGGCTTCATGATTTCCCACTCTGCAAACTGAGGCTGGAGGCTGAATTATGTCATCAGAAGGACCTAACTTCAGGCACTCAGTCTGCATCAAGATGGCAACAGTCCAAAGAGGCTACAATGGCTCCATGTGCAGCGGCATCCCCTGCTGGCTCACAACCAGATGCTCCCCGGTGAAACAGGACAGCCGGTGTGGTGTTAACAGGTAGGATGGCAGACCCGGGTTCAGCTCCCCCATCCTGTCACAAAGCCCACCCAACAACCTTGGGCCAGTCACGCACTCTTTTAGTCTCACCCGCCTCATGGGGGGTTGCTCGTGAAGATGAAATGGGGAAGGGAGAGCCACGTATTGCTGCCCTGAGCTCCGTGAAGAAAGGACGGAACAGAACCGTGCTTGAGAGAGAAAAGGGGGGAGCCAATCTACACAACCTGGGCTTGTGGCAGCTAGGATGGGAAAGACCTGCAGCACGGAGGACCGTTTTTGGTCGCATTTTCACCGCAGGTCTAACACACACACCCCCATCACCCCCAAATCACAAGCAGTGGGAGCCGAGCACTTAAAATCGTAAATGCGGCAACTGGCCACCACCTCTCCCCCCCCCAATATCACACTGGTGTGGTCCGTGAATTCACCAGGTGTGCAATTGGCTGCATTATTGACTTTGGGCTGTGGACCCCACCCCCGGCCATATGGCTCAAACTCCAAATTTCATCATGGGCCCTTCTCGTAACAATATTATCATTATTAATAATATTCTTTCAGCTGAGGTATCAGGACTCCAGCTAAAGGAAAACTACTGAAGGCATGAAATATTATGACACTAAGGACCGGAGTTCTGCCTGCCCACCTCTTTTTAATTTGTTTTTAGTTGTCTCTTTTCAATGTGCTATTTTTAATAATAATTTTACTGAATATGTCCCCCCCCCCGACTTAGAAAATTATTTACTGAAAAACTAGCCTGCGACCCGTGCTTTGCTACGGCATTTAAGTTCCGTAAATCCAGTTATAATACTGATGATGTGAAGTTTGAAATCTGACATTTGTTGCAGGAATTCTAGTGGAGAAGACTGTAGTGTAAGAAATGGTGAGACATACATACTTCCTCCCCCCCTCTACCGAAGGACCTCTCTCTAGACCACATTGGTGGTTCTGCCCTCAGGTGCTAGGATCACCAGGCTGCTTGGTGAGCTCACTCTGGAGAAGGCCACATAGAACTGCCCATTTAAGAAGCAGTCGTCTGTTAAGTCAACTCCTGCCACCTTCCAGTTTGGTGTAGTGGTTAAGTGCACGGACTCTAATCTGGGAAAAACGGGTTTGATTCCCCACTCCTCCACTTGCACCTTCTGGATGACCTTGGGCAAGCCATAGTCCTGGCAGAGCTCTTCTTGAAAAAAGGCAGTTTCTGTCAAGAGCTCTCTCAGCCCCACCTATCTCACAGGGTGTCTGTTGTGGGGAGGGGAAGGGAAAGGAGTTTGTAAGCAGCTCTGGGACTCCCTTGGGTAGTGAAGGGCGGGGTATAAATCCAATCTCCTCCTCCTTCTCCTCCTCCTCTCATGAAAGTGATGGCCTCTTTACTTGTGTTCCCGGATTGTTTTGCTCATATGGAGACTGTTGTTCTGAGCACCTCAGGGTGATCTTGCTGGTACCTGACCTGCGCAGCTCAGTGCACTGCAGGAGTACCATGTGCAAATGTCTTTGCCGCATTCCTAAACTGCCTCCTCCTTGTAGCGTTGGTGTAGCAGGCTCGACGTTTGCCAGGAGCTTTTTGGGGGGCAGTAAGAGGTGAGAGGTGTGAGGGCGAGTTGGTGTGAGGGAGTGCTGATGTGGTGGACATTTCTTCAGGTTCATGAGGGAGGCATGCATTGAAATGGCTCCTAAAAATGTCCTGTACTATCTCATACCCTGGCTCTGCTCCTAAACCTGACAAACACAAGCCTGTCTGGTGTTGGGGGGGATTGTATTTAAAGGGATCAGGGAGGCTGGGCCAGCAGCAGGGATATGGCAATCCTGCTGAGCAAACTTCCCCGGCGGCTGTAAGCATCCCAGCTCCTCTCCTACACCCGTCCGGTGGCTGCCTGTCTAGTGTAGGAGGGGGGGGGGGAGGAGTATTAGAAGCCACTGTGGAGGCAGGACTGGCAGGATCGCTAAGGCGTTACTGCTGGGGCAGGCTCCCTCATGGCTTTAAGCACCCTGCAACCACTGCCGCACCTGATAGACAACCGCCTTTTAGGTGTAGGAGGTGGGGGAGTGTGTTGGAAGCCACTCCACCTCCTCTCTGACACCTGACAGGCAGCTGCCTGTCCAGTGTAGGAGGGGGAGAGGGGAGGAGTTTTAAAAGCCACTGTGGAGGTGGGACTGCACCTGACAGACAACCGCCTGTTAGGTGTAGGAGGTGCGGGGAGTGTGTTGGAAACCATCAGAGAGGCTGGGCCAGTAGCCTTGCTTCACCTCACAGGTGGTTCTTGGTCACTTCTGATTTCCTCAACTGTCATTAGCTGTCTGCAGTCCCCTGTAACTGGCAGGGCTGGCAGGATCGCTAAGGTGTTACTGCTGAGGCAGGCTCCCTCGTGGCTTTAAGCACCCTGCAACCGCTACTGCACCTGACAGAGAATCGCCTGCTAGGTGTAGGAGGTGGGGGAGTGTGTTGGAAGCCACTCACCTCCTCTCCTACACTTGACAGCAGCTTTGCTTCACCTCATAGGTGGTTCTTGGCCGCCCGTGATTTCCTCAACTGTCATTATCTGTCTGCAGTCCCCTGTAACTGTTGACTTTTTTAACCTCAGAACACTGAGCTCTGCAGCTGACCAATCAGAGAGTGGGGGGTGCAGAGAGTCAGCTGCCTGGCACCCACACAGTAATCAATGGGGGGAGCCCTTAGGGGCCGAATTTCTAAAAATCCCTTCTTAGCGAGCACCTCTGGAGCTGCGGTGGCTCAAGTGGTTAAGACGCTGAACTGCAGGCTGTGTAAGGTCGGTAGTTCAGCAGTTCAAGACCCGAGTGTGCCGCATGACGGAGTGAGCTCCCATCTCTAGTTCCAGCTCCTGCCAACCTAGCAGTTTGAAAAAAAGACTTTGCAAGTAGATAAATAGGTACCACTTCGGTGGGAAGATAACAGCGTTCCGTGCGCCTTGGTGTTTAGTCATGCCGGCCACATGACCACGGAAACGTCTTTGGACAGCGCTGGCTCTTCGGCTTTGAAACGGAGATGAGCACCGCAACCCTAGAGTCGGACTCGACTGGCTTTCAAGCAAGGGAACCTTTACCTTTACCCAGTGAGCACCTACACCACGGTAGGAGCGTTCTCCCCAAATTTGGTGTCTCTAGGTCCAGCAGTTTGGCCTGGGTGTTGATTTTACGGTGAGGGGACTTTCTTTTATATATATATAGATGGGTAAAAGTAGTCTAATAAATGACTACTTAGTAGTAGTACTAATTAATTATGTTATTATTTAATCTAACTACAAAATGCTTGCTTTATTTAGAAGGTTATAGGATATATATACACACAAATACAATATCAAGTGCCATGTGTCAGTGAGAAAGACAGACAATAGATGAAGTCACTAAATAAACAAATACTGCTTTTCTAGATTAACACTGTCCTCTAAATAAAATAAGTATCATCAGTAGCTATCTTAAATATTTTACTACTACTACCGAACACATATTTTACTTATTTAGAAAAGTAATACATTCTATTAACACTAGCAGTTCAACATATTAATTTTCTAAATAAAATGATCATTTTAGTAGCTGCAGTAAATAGTAAAACAGCTGCAATAAACAGTAAAATACAATTAAAATAGCTGCAATAAATAGTAATGACTATTGCTAATAGCAAATGCTTGTTTGATTTAGAAAATGAAATATATTTAATTTCTACGCTGGCTGCAACAGCACAGACCTCAGACTGGAGGAGGTGCTTGGCGGCTGCCCTGGGTTCAACCTTCTTTAAACTGCTGACCGTTCTTTCACAGCTGCCATCCGTCTGAATGCAGCGTGGGAAACCACAAACAAGCTGAGAAGCGCTTAATGCAGGGGGAGAGGAGTGTGACGGGTGTTGCTGGCAAGCCATGTGCAAGTGAACAAACCCCCAAGGGCTAAACTCTGACAATGGCCGACTGGGGAAAGTGGCAGAAGAGGTTTCCGTGCCAGACTCCTTAATTCCGCAGCCAACCCACCTGCTGGAGTACTTCCGGAATCCTTATTAGAAGAGGGGAGGGGAAGGCTGGGCAAAAGGTTCTCTCCTTAGGTCTTAAAGCAAAACCAAAGCCATTTGTCTCTCAGCCAGGGGCAGATTATCTCGCCTTGAGTTTGAGGGTTGCCTGATTTAAGGTGTTTTATGTAATTTTACAGAAAACATGCCGTGTCAACACAGTGACGCTATTATGCTGCACTTAATGATGAGTATTTTCCAGTAAACAAGTTGTTGTTGTTGTTTTGAAGATCAGTTTACAAGGGTGGGAACGGAAGGAGGATTTTTGATCAAGGCCTCACCGAGTAGGGGACTTCCCTGAGCCAGGCATTGTTGAACCAGCGTGGCGTAGTGGGCAGAGGGTCACACTAGGATCTGGGAGACCCAGGCTCAGATCCCCACACTGCCATGGAAGCTCGCTGGGTGACTGCAGACCTAGCCTGCCTCTCAAGGATAAAATGAAGGACAATGTCATAAGCCACTCTGAGTCTGCACTGGGGAGAAAAGTGAGGTATAAATGAACAAAGAAATCTATTTTGGTGACTGGTAGGAGCCCAGGCAGACAACAGCAGCTGCATTCAGACATCGTGATAAACCACGGTTTGTGCGACAAGCCACAATTAGTTAACAGACGCAAATAATAAAACCAGGTTTGCCTGATTGTTGCCTCTCCTCTCTACCTGCCTCCTTCTTGCTACCCAGCAAACTGTGGGTAGTGAATTCAGTGTCCCGGCATACCACAACCGGCCCAAACTGTGGTTAACAAAGCAGCTGCAAACCCTAATTTGGAATCCTAGTTCAGTGCCAGCCAACAAACCCTGGTTTGCTGCACTGCGTACATTCAGATGTCACAGCTAACTGATCAAACCATGATTTGCTGTGTCAAACAAATATAGCTTGTGTACGTATGCAAACATGTGGATTCATCTTGTACATCTCAGGGCTGAACTGTATGCTACGTGGCATTTCTGGGACTGGATCTCCTGACTTGATTTTTAAAATGTTAAAAAGCAGCCAGGATGGGGGTATTTTAGGCCAGGGATGCACTGCCTGCTTCCATCTCAGCGGCTCTTCATCCCAGCAGTGAGAAAAGAGGGGGAATTCTATGGATGTGTGACATTTTTCCTCAGCAGCCTGGGAAGTGGCAGGGTAATTTTATCCTCATAAGGTTAGGTTAGGCTGAGAGAAAAGAACTGGCAGAGCAGAGGCAATGAAGGCGAGCCACCCAGGAGCATTTTTGTATTAAGAAAATGACACAGGGAAGTGTGAAACTTCTCCCCATAGCAGCTCCAATCCAAATTAGGACCTCGCATATATGCTTTTTCACATTAACAGGAGACCTCCCATGAACTGGGTAACTCAGACCCCGCCTCCACTTTTCAGAAAAGGACAGGCTTCTAGCTCTTACTGAAAACACTGAAAGCTCAGGAAATGCAGTGGGGCCTGGGTGGGGGGCTTGATTTCCAATTACTGCAGGGATTGTGTGGCCAAGTAGGCAGGCTCTGTATTCTCTGGATGACCCCTCCACTGCAGGGCAAATACCCCCCACCCCCGTCCTATAGGTCCACCCATTCCACATCTCCAGACCTTCTTTTCTCAAAAGATCTGCATTCTGTGAAACACCTGGATTTTGGGGAATGACTGTCGTGGTTAAGAGTGCCAGGCCAGGATCAATGCTCCCTCTAAGCTGTGGAGTCTTGTGAGCAAAAATTCTACTTTGTGAGCTCCTGGCATTGAAGTTGTGAGCGAGCGGTTTGGCAGCTGCATACATCAGTTTGCTCTGGAGCCCTCCTTCCTGAGCGAAGGCAAAAATGTGTGAGCCGGAGGCTAAAAAACTGTGGGCTAGCTAGCTCACACTATCTCAGCTTAGAGGAAACACTGGCCAGGATCACGGGGACCCAAATTCCCATTCTCCCTTCTCCCATGGAAGCTTGCTGGGTGGGGCCTAGGTCCCCTCCCACACACTCAGCCTCACCCAGGAGGAGCATGACGTGAGCCGCTTTGGAACCTGACTGGGGAGAAAGGCAGAGCAGAAATGAAGTACATAAAGACTAGGCGCTACCTCAGCAGATCTGTGGGCCCGGCTCATATTTAAGATGCCGTAGAGGGGAAAGGGGGTGGTGGTGCAAAGAATGGCGCCTCCTGCAATCTGGTTTTTCCTAGGCAGATTCTTCCGTCGCTGCCACCACCCTGGCCTAGCCGGGTTCACTGATGCCAATGTTCCACAAGAGATTGAAAATCTGGCATTCTGTTTCTGACCTCATGCCCGTAAGTCTTACGTGGAGACGCCAGGAGAGCTGGAGTCATCTGAGCCGCTACCTTTTCCAGCAGAAGGCTCATAACAGAACTAGTGTTTATTTAAGTATGCACGTCACCCAAGGTGTCCCCCGTGCTCCTTGGTAGCCTTCAAACACAACAGAGACAACCCTGTCCCAGGCCAGACATGCAAGAGTTAATATGCAGGGTTGACTACGACTGCAACTTCTTCACCACACAACCACACACCGCCACACAAAGCGAAACTACTCACGAGGCAAGAGGCATGCTGACGAGACAAAAAAAGGAGGGGAAGCAACGCAAGCGCCAATTAGTCGATTAAGTCAAGAGGTTAGGGAGAGTCACGAAAGCTGTGATTGGACACACAGTGAGAACAAGGGGAGCGGTCAAGGCCGCCATCGTGCCTCGGACACACACGAAAGGGTTAAAAAAATAATTCATGGGTTCGTACTTCTCTAGGAGGTTCTTCTGCAGGCTTCTCTTCTTTCTGAAACAATGTTGAAACCAAAAAGGTCAACGCAATTTCCAAAACACAGGATCCGGCTGGCAAGACTCGCCTTCCTGTTGAAAGGGGTGTGTGTGTTTGTGTGTGTGCGGGTACTCTGTTCCACTGAATTGTCCTCCAGGGACCCGTTTGGCAGTGAAGAAGCCCAGGCTTCCAAGCTGGCTTCTCTCCATTTTGCCACACTAGCATAGATTCTAAGCCAGTCCTGTGGCTTGTTGTTATGAGAGGGGATGCAGGGAACCTCTGGCTGACTTGCTCTCACGCACCCTTCTCCTGCTTAATGCTGAAAGACTCAGGCTGCAACCACACAGTTTCCTGTTGCCTCTGGATCACAAACTACGATTCCTCTCTTCTTCCCAAAGCAGGAACGAGAGGGGAAGGGGGCAAATCGCACTCTGCGATTCAGTTATAATAATCAACTTTGGTTTGCTGCAAAAGGATCTCCCCAGGCGAGTTCATGTAGTGACAACCTCCAGTTCCATAACTATTTTATCTCCATACTCTGAAACTTCTTCCCCTCCCCACAAACTTCCCCTTTTCCTTATATAAATTGTGATTAAATGTTACTGTTCATTGAAAAAAAATCAACAGAAATATTTTATTCCTTCTGTCTCCAGATTGCTATTGTGAATATGCCATTTGTTGTTGTTGTTGTTCAGTTGCACAGTTGAGTAACTCTTTGTGACCCTGTGGACCACATCACACCAGGTCCTCCTGCCTTCCACTGTCCTGTGTATTTTTAGGAACGTGTGTGTGTGTGACACACATGACTGTGGCCCTACCAGGCACCTTCAGGTCTGTGCTCCACAGTGATGAACACCACCCGAACAGGCTCTCAGGGTCCAAAACCTTCCACAGTTCCATGCTGACTCCAGACCCCCAGGCAGCCCACTGCTTTCCTTTCGACCTGGAAAGAGCTCCTGGGACAGGTGTGGGAAATGTTTCTTTCTCATCCCTTTACATTTGTATTTTGCCACATAAGCCTAAATGGACTGCAGTTTTTAAATAAAAATATGATGATCAAAACATGGGTTAGCTGTTACAGATTAGAGCCTTACAAAAACAACAGGAGTCTAGTGATGCTCAAAAGATGAATAAAAATGGATGTTGGCATAATCTTTCTAGAGCATGAGCTCTCTCCTTTGCCTCTGGCTTATGCCGGGATATATTTTGTTCATCTTTGAAGGCACCCCTGGATTCCTGTCCTGTTTTGCCCCTGTAGATTCACACAGACGGCCATTCAGAACGAGTGAAGGAACACTGAGAAACGCCTGCTCTGACTTCACCAGTCCCTTTGCCGCATTCCCTCAAAGGTCAAAGCCTCCCAATTCCTGTTCCCCCAACCCAGCCCCCCCCCCCCGCCAACAAGTCCCCTGCTGAGGCAGGAGCCCAAGGAGGCAGTCAGTTGGGCAGCAGAAGGCGAGAGAGAGCCCAGCTCTGCCTCCATCAGAGCTCTGGAACTCCCCAGGGAGATTTGTCTGTCTTGTCTGTCTCCCTCTGTCGGTGTCTTTTGGTTTCATTTGGCAGACCCCCAGTAATGGTTATGAGTCCTCCTCCCTGGTTCTGCTGTCGTTTATGTGTTTTATTTGCATTATTTTATCATTTTAAATGTTCTTTTTAACTGTTCAAGTGTTTTAATATTTTCATGTGTACCGTCTTGGAGAACCTGATCCAGTGGAAAGGCGGCGTAAAAATGTTTTACATAAATAACAGTGTATGATGCTTCAACGTGTTGGTTAAAATTAGTGGAATAAATGCAGCAAAACACAATAAGCAAACAAAAAACCCCACATTCACAGTCAATGAAAAAGGGGGTTTAGAGGTGGGAAAGTGTTGCTCCTGTACTTACTTTGCTTCTAGAATTGACATTCAAGAGGCACACACCACAAGCCAGCTCTTGAGCATTTTTAATTCCTGGGCGAAGCATGCAAGAAGAGAAATCCAGCGAGTTTTCGTCAGGCTGCAGGAGCAACGGGGGGGTGGGGGGGGGGGGGGGCTGTATTTGACATCAGAAGTTCACAATAAACGACACAGGATTTATCACTACCCATCTTAGGTCCCTACATTAGGAGCAAGGTGAGAATATTAAGTACAGTATTTTGAATAAATAAATAATTAAAATGCAGTCTCAGCCATGACATGTTTCATTTGTTTTTAAAAGGCTAGATGGCAAGACTCTCGCAACAGCCACTGGTCACGACAACTATGTGGATCCCCCAGGTTCAGTGACAGTCTACCTCTGCTGGGAAGAAGCAGTAGGCAAAGATCATCACTGTCACGGCCTGCACAGCAGCTTCCCAGAGGCTTGGGCTAGACATAGTCGGAAGCAAAACGCTAGGCTTGGGGCATCTTTGTTCTGATCCAGCAGGGTAGTTCTGATCAACTGTAATAATTAAACATTAAGCCTCCATGTAAAGCGGCTAAATATCTCACACTGGGACCAAATTCCAGGGAAGGCTGTTGCCTTTGTTTCGCCCTGTCGGTAGGCTTCCCATTTCAGCCACTGCTGGCTGTGGCCTGGTCCAAAATGCCATGTTTATTCAGTCCACCTTCTCACAGTGCAATTCTAGTTTCAATGGGCTTTGCTGCTGAGGGTGGCACTTTCAGGGCAGTCGTGGAGGAAAGGACAGCCTTTCTCACAGGCCTTAAAAACTCTTCTCCAAAATTATCTGTCTGTCCTTCGCCACTGAGTGACCAGACTGCCAGAAGGAGTCTAGAGTGTGGAGGGGGGGCGGGGCAGGGGGGAAATAAAAGTCCATGACGTCCAGGGAGCAGAGCACACTGAGTAGGGTTCACACATGTAATACGACTGGACCCGAACGCCAATTGGAAAAAGGATGGTCAAAGACTGGAGCATCTTTGACTTGCTGGTGGTGGGAAGTGCCGTCACGTCACAGCCAACTTAGGGCAAGCCCTCAGGGGGTTTCCAAGGCAAGAGACGTTCAGAGGTAGCTTGCCCTTGCCTGTCTCTGAGTAGCAACCTTGGACTTCCCTGGCAGTCTCCCCTCCAAGTACTAACAAGAGCCAACCCTGCTTAGCTTCTGAGATCTGACAAGAGCCAGTTTGGTATAGTGGTTAAGAGTGGCGGACTCTAACTTGGAGAACCGGGTTTGATTTCCCACTCCTCCTCCACATGCAGCCAGCTGGGTGACCTTGGGCCAGTCACAACTCTCTCAGAGCTCTCTCAGCCCCACCTGCCTCACAGGGTGTTTGTCGTGGGGGGAGGAAGGGAAGGCAATTGTAAGCTGCTGCGAGACTCCTTTGGGTAGTGAAGGGTGGGGTATAAAACCAATTCTTCTTCTAATGATTTTATTGTATTGTTTTTACTAAATAAAAACTAAATGTTTTTTCTAAATAAACAAATACATTCCTCTGTCCAGAACAAAGTCGGAGTCCAGTGGCACCTTTAAGACCAACAGAGTTTTATTCAAGGCATAATTTTCTGTATGCATGCACACTTCTTCAAATACAATGAAATGGAAATTACCAGTCCATTTATATAGGTAGAGAGTGACTGGTAACTTCCATTTCATTGTATCTGAAGAAGTGTGCCTGCACACGAGAGCTTATACCCAGAATATATACCAACTTCATTGGTCTTAAAGTTGCCACTGGACTCAGACTTTGTCCTGCTACTTCAGACCAGCACAGCAACCCACCTGAATCTATTCTTCTGTCCCGTAATCTCATGCTGCATCTTTAGCAGATGATTCTATTTTAATTGCATGTTTTTTAATGGGTGCACCAGCTGCCTAATAAGTTGAACATCTTATTAGGAAGACTTATGTTAATGCTCTTCCTAGAATGTTACAGCCTAGCATCTGGATTTCCTTTACCACTTATTGAACAATATTAAATTAGAGACTGATCTATAGATGTCTTGTAGATTTATTTTCTTAAAATAATACAATTATGGTACCATTCTCAAACTACCCCTGCCATTTAATATTTTCTTGGAAGTAAGGGCTTTTAAAGGGGATATTGCTAACTGATACCCACTGATGGGTTTGTACCTGGAAAATAATAGTATGTATGTGTTTATAATACTGGTATCAATATGTTCTATGCTGATATCATATTCTATATGCTTAAATCATACCCTATATCAATATATTCTATACTTATGTTAAACACAAGTTATTTTAGTATAATGACAGTGTAACTATATTGCAAGGGTAGAAGAAGAAGAGAAGAAGAGACTGGATTTATATCCTGCCCTTAACTACCCAAAGGAGTCTCAGAGCGCCTTACAATCTCCTTTTGCTCCCCTCCTTACAACAGACACCCTGTGAGGTAGGTGGGACCAAGAGAACTCTTTCGAGAACTGCACTTGAGAGAACAGCTCTGAGAGAACTTATGACTGACCCAAAGTCACACCAGCAGCTACATGTGGAGGAGTGGGGAATCAAACCCGGTTCTCCCAGATTAGAGTATGTGCTCCTAACCACTACACCAAACTGGGTAGTGAGCTAGCTATTATTTCTAAGCACTTCCTAATTCTTAATTCCAGCTTTCGCACTGTAACAAAAATGCTTAACAGACAGTGTTTTCAGAGTTCACTCTGCTCACTTTCTCACAGCGGACCAAGGCGGAAAGAGAGCAGCTTGTGAATGTGAGGCTGAAATTTGAACCAGTGACCTCTTGGATCCCAGCTCAGCTTCCCTTTTTTGGGGTGCGGTCACACGGTCCTTTTGATCGGGTTTCGCTGCTGTTCCCTCCTGCATTTAAATTTGCCGACCAGATAGGCCAATCCGCCTCCCGCGCCGAAGTGGGCTTAGTCCCGCAATTTTCGCGGTTCTCTGCCGCATTTTCTGGCACTGGCCGGAACGAGTACTTTCCGGGTTTTCCCGCTGCGATTTCCATATCTGGACTGCATAGTGCCATGACCGCACTTTCTTTCTTTCTTTTTTGGCCGACCCCTGTTTTGCACATGTGCAAAAAAAGCGATGTAATTATTCTATGCATAAAGGCGCAAAAGCACATGCGCAATTGATTAAAAAAAAAATTCCCGCACAGCCACAAGGGGCGGCACAGCTGATCAGCAGTTCGCATGATTAAAGCGGTTGAAAGAGGGACCGTCTTCACCCGATACAAAAGGTCGCGGATAAAATGACACCGCATCCTTAGTCTTCCTTTGGTCAAAAGGATCAGACAAATTCAGAAGAGCAAAGCAGACCTAGCCACCATTAGACCCTCCCTGGTCAGGTGCAGGAGGGCTGCCCAGGACAGGAAGCAGGGGATGGCAGTTGTGTCCAGGGCCAGTGGGGCAGAAGCATCTGGGCAGCCCAGAAACAAGGCTAGACGGGTCCAATCTAACCAGGCCATTTATTGGATTATTTACAGTCCCCCTTTCCTACTGAGACTCAAAAGCAGATCTACACAGTATGAGGAGGCATCTAATATGCATCTATTTGGGCTTTTTTTTGCCGTCAAGTTACAGCTGATTTATCACGACCCTGCAGGGTTTCCAAGGCAAGAAACGTTCAAAGGTGGTTTGCCATGGCCTGTCTCTGTGTCACAACCCTGGTATTCCTTGGAGGTCTCCCACGCAAACACTGACCAGGGCCGACCCTGCTTAGCTTCCGGGATCTGATGAGATCGGGCTAGCCTGGACTAGGATTACAGAAATATTAGGCACAATACAGTGAAAAGAAATGTCAACAAAGAGGCCCTGTTCCTCTTACCGTCAAAGCAGCGAGCGACATGAAGCTGATCAGGTTGTTCCAGACTTTGTCGATGTCCTTCAGCAGCTGTTGGAGCTTCTCACTACAGACGGCTGTTGCCTTGATGCCCAGCTCCACTCGCTTGGTCACTCTGTAAACCTCCACAACCCCTAATGGAATTTGAAGAAGAGCGCAGGAGGGTCACTAACACCCAAGAGGAGCTCGGACAGACCTCCTACAACACAACGCGAGGGGGTTGGGGCAGAAGGAGGCGCATGACTGTTTAGTCAAGCCAGATTTTGCTCGTCCGTGATGACATTCATGCACGGTTTAGATGTATATTTTGCAATCCAAAATGGGCTGGAAAAGCGGGACCAAAAAACACAATGGAAATGAAATGCAAATTGCTCTGCGGGGAGCAGGTCCTCAACAGAAGCTGAATCCCGGCACGAGGGAAGGGTGCCTAGCTGCTCCCCACCCCCCCAGTCCGGTGGTCCCAACCCAAGGCAGTTGGAAGCTGGACGGACAGGAGCCCTCAGCTGCTGATGGATTTGGACATGGCAGAGAGGACACCTGGCTACGTTCGCCTCGTTGCAGGCTTTTCCTCTTAAAGGTTTAAAGTGATCTGGCGTCTGCCCTGGAACCACCGAGGCAACTTTTCCAGATGTGTATCTATCTATAAACAGGATCCTCAATTCCTTTAGGAATTGGTCTGGATAAGTTACACGGTTGACCAATTCCCAATGCAAGACCTTCGTACCCCAAAGTACAAAACCCCCCTTTGCTTTCAGATTGTTACTCACAGCCACCAGAAACACACTTCACAGGCCTTCTGGAAATAAAAGAGTCTTGAGGGCATATGTTTTGATCACCCACATACAGTGGGCGTGGGGCAGAGAGAACAGGGGAAGCACGTGTTTGCTTGGAGACTGAAAACTGAGCAAATTTGTCTAATGCAGTACTACTCGGTGGCTTGCGGAGAGCCATATCCACCATTACCACCAGCCAAAAGAGCCATATGATTACTGTATGCCCTGTGAGCCCTCCACCACATAGATGACTATTAATAAACTAAAGATATAGCTAGAACCTTTCAAATGACCAGCATACCCCTGAACACGCAGGGTGGTGTTTCTCTCTCCACACAGCTACTGAGCCTCAGGGGGGCAGCCCTTGTGCATCTGCAGTGAAAGGCTTCTTGCTCTGCCCTCAACACGAGGCGCAGCAGCTCAGACAAGAGAGCGAGACTGGCAAGGTGCCTGGAGGAGGGCAAGCTGGCCCTGGAGAAAGGGGAGTGGAACCAGCACCTACTGCGGGCCAGCTTGCTCTTTTCTTGAGCGGCTGCTGTAGTTGTAGCCTCACTCTCTCTCCTCCGTCGCCAGCTTGCTCTGCTCCTGACAGCTGCCCAGGTGCTGAAACCAGAATACAGAGAAGAAGGGATGCTGGAGAGGCCCTTTATGTCCTCTCTTGGCACGAGGCTTGCAGCTCGCCCATCCTTCAAGTCCCTCCAGGCAGCAGCTGCTTCAAGGTGTGAACCACACCTGCCAAACACAAGCCCTATCAGGCAATGGTCTTGCTACTTTTCGGAAACACCAAGCAAGGGCCACACTGGGCAACGCTGCTCAGAAGAGCTGTGTGTGGCTCCTTAGCCACTGAGCGAGTGTCACTGTTCTAACATCAACAAGATATGGTAAAATGAAGTCATACCTAGCAAATACTCCATGCCTTGGGCAGACTGGATGACTTCTGTGCACACAGAGGAACTGCTGATTCCATTCAGGGTGTTGTTTGCCTTTTTGATGATCTGGCAAAAAACACGAAGAGGATCACACGGACCATTTGTCTTCCCAGAATAGCAGAGAAGCCAAATAAGGGTGTCATCACAGGCCACCAACATAACAGAAAAACTTTCTTGTTTAAATGAGAAGGCAGAACCTTTCTGGACACCAGTGAGAGCAGAAAACACCTCTGGGGTTAAATTCATGCCTGCCTCTTTCCTTCCTGTTTGAACACCTTCTTCCTGCAGTAGAGGGAGGGGCTGCGGCTCAGTGGCCTTTTGCATGCAGAATGTCCCAAGTTCAATCCCTGGAATCTCCAGTTAAAAGGACCAGGCAACAGGTGGGGTGAAAGACCCTCACCTGAGACCCTGGAGAGCTACTGCCAGTCTGAGCAGACAACACTGACCTCAATCGAGCAAGAGTCTGATTCAGTACAAGGCAGCTTTACGTGTGTTCAGTATCCATTTGTCTCATCTGGATTATGCACTTTCAGGACAGGTTAAAGTGTGTGTTTTCAGACCGTAGAACACAGCTGCCTGGCCCTGACTACTCAGGAGAGGACAGGGCATGGTGAAAACCCAGACCAGACCATGCTCCATCCGACAAGCACCCCTTTCACTTTCATCAAAACCAGGCCTAGCTTCTCAGAACATTAGGAGCCCAAAGAGAGTCCACAGCCTTTGAAGCAGGTATGAAGTTGCCTGATACAAAGTCAAGACGGTCTGTTCTGACTGGCAGTGGATTTGCCAGGCCTCTGGCAAAAGTCTTTTGCAGGCCCTGTTACTGGAGATCCTTTTCTTGCCACGCCTCCCCCTGACAAGTCGGCTTCCTGACCTTGATCTTCATGCTCCACACTGCACCTTCCTCGAGCAAATCTGCCTCTACGTCCATCCTACTCTGCCCCTCTCTGACCCACTCGGAGTGGTCCTCACCCATTCCCATCTGTTGAGAGATGGGCAGGGTAGGACTGATTTCTCTTCGGCTGGTCACTGTTTCAAGCTGGCCTCCCTTTGTGCCATCACCCCACTCCTGCCTTTCTGTGGCATGTGACTCTAAGATATCCACAATGGATGTGTTATGTTGCTGCCATGTGTTTGATGAAGTGAGCCCTGACTCACAGAAGCTTATGCTGGAACAAGTGTTGTTCAGTTTCTGATGTTCCACTGGAATTGTGTTTCATTTCACATCACTCTTCCCAACTAGGAATGTCTTCATGTTTGAGAATGCTGTTGTTTTCTTTCTTTTTGGCAACAGATACAAAAGGCAAAGGAAGTTATTCTGGTAGAAGGAGACACCATACTTACTTGGAGAGCACTTTCCAAGCATCTCTGCCATTCATAAGCATACCTCTCGCTTTCCTACATGAAAAAGAAAACAAAAAGGAAGGAAGAAGTCATGCCGTGTGCTATCTAGGGCTGTTTTGTGACTGTTTTTTCGTACACGGAGGGAAACAAAATGAGGAAAGGTGCCCTCTAGAACTGGAGGTTCTTTTCCCTCGAGACACCCTTGTACAGATGATAAGAAGCAGTCCTTTGAAGCTGCTGCCCAGTCCCTCCTGAATGGAATGCATAGGCCAAGGAGGAATATATTTTTGGCTACACCACCGTGCATATCTGGAAGGCAGTTATTGGAAGCACCAAAGCTGCACCCTAAGAGCACCACATTCTGATCTACACATCCCACAGAATGTCAGGGTAGAGTCCTTCTGGGATTCCAGACTGGAGATAGTGGCAAAATAGCATTTTTGAATACTACGACTCCTTGTATTTTTGTTTTGTTTGACATTCCCTCAATGATCCCTCCTTCCTAACCAAGGTTTTATGTTTTGTATGTATTGTAACTGTTTTATATGTATTTTAACTCAGTGTTAAACTCTTTTAAAAGTTGTTTTAATGAGGTATGTTTGGGAGGGTTTTTTATTTTAATGGTTTTAAAATGTAATTTTTAAATTGCTAGCCACCTTGGCAGCCTTTGTGAGGGCAGAAAAGTGGTACATAAATTTTATAAATAAATAATAATATTACTGTATTTAGAGAACTAGCATACAAGGGAGTGGGTTTCCTTGAAGCACTAGCTTCTTGCATGCAAGGAGGTCTTTTTCTTTAAACGTCAGAGAACGTTCAGCAATATAATTCTATGTGGGCAGTCCGCAACAATATGACACGGTGCTTTGAGTACTGAATTAGGACAGAGAACATCCCGGTTCAAATTCCTGCTCATCTGTGAAACTCACTGGGTGACCTTGGAAGCATTCATCTCAACCTACCTCTCAAGGCAGCTGCGAGGATAAAACAGGCAGCGGTGGGGAGAGCCAACAGCTTGAAAAGAGGGAAGGATAATCAAACAGGAAGCAAGACCAGAATAATCAAATATTTTTTAACTTATTTGATTATTCATATTCAGTTTTCTTTTTTCTACAGCGTTCCTTTTTCCGGTCCAGTATTAATGTATTGGTTATCTTATTGTAATACGTAATATTGTACCCTCAAACGGTTTGACCTCTGAAGAAGGCCCCCAAGAGGGAGGAAACGCGTCAGGTCATTTGCACTGGCCCTGGTGTTCAGGCCACTCGAACTTTGCAACGAGGCTTTGCAACTTTCGTTGGGCCCTTATTTGTTTTTAACTGCCTTTCTAATAAATACATGTATTTTTGTGTATTATAAGTTTACACGAGGTTTTTAATACTGGCCCTTTATTAGACTTCTTTCTTGCCCTTGTGGTTCTTGATTCCAGTTTTTGGGTCAAGTTTGTTTCCCCCTCCCTGCGTCTTACAGCAAGACCAGAAGGCCTGCCAGGTAGCCTTGTGACAGGCACTCTGGAGACATCGCCATGGACTGCTGCTGGTGCAGCCTGGCAGTGAACAGGGCGATCCTGAGCAGAGTTTGCCCTTCCAAGAGCCAAAACTAGATGTGCAGGTCTTGAAGTCGAGGTTCCCCACAGCCACACGGCGGCTGCCAGAAGGACAAAGGAGAGCCTGCTTGGGCTGGGAATGCCGCTGTGGCAGGAAGGGCGGGCTCCTGCCTTCCCCCGCAAGCGGCTCTCTGCACTGAAATAGCGCTGCAGGGTGGGGGGGAAGGTATTTCCCTGTAATTGTGGCTTTACAGGGAGTGGGGAAATAACTCCCTCCCCACCCCCAAGCACTCTTGGTGCAGGAAAACAGCTTGAGGGAAGGAAGGAGCCCCTCCTCCCCCACAGTGGCATTCCAATGATATCGCCTTTATTTTTGAACAGCCGTTCCCGGCAGCTGCTGTGTGGTTGCGGGGAAGCTGGACCCAGTTCTTAAAAAACCCTCACATCTAGTTTGGCCCTACGTCTAATGAAGGCAAGGGGCTGAGACGCATAGAACTCTGAGCCTGAAATGCAAACCACAAAGTTCGTGGGGTTTGAATCTTGACTCTCCTGCAGGGCTGCCAGCCTCCGGGTGACTTCTGGAGATCTCCTGCTATTACAATCCATCTCTAGACAACAAAGATCAGTTCCCCTGGAGAAAATGGCTGCTTTGGCGCATGGCCTCCAGGGCACTGTGTCCTGCTGAGGGCCTTCCCCACCCCACCCCTCCCCAAACCCCGCCCTCCCCAGGCTCCACCCCCAAAATCTCCAGGCATTTCCCAAGCCAGCGCTGGCAACCCTACTCCGCCATGCACTTCCTGGGTGGCCTTAGGCAAGGCCCCCACTGTCAGCTACAGATCCCATCCCCTGCAAGACGGGCGACAATACTGGGCCTCTCTTAGAGGGCCGTTGTCAGAATAACATTGTAAACATCTAAAGGTAAAGGTTTCCCTTGCTCAACAGCTAGTCGAATCTGATTCTAGGTCATCTCCGTTTCCAAGCCGAAGAGCCAGCGCTGTCCAAAGACTTTTTCCGTGGTCATGTGGCCGGCATGACTAAATGCCGAGGAGCACGGAACACTGTTACCTTCCCACCGAAGCGGTGCCTATTTATCCACTTGCAATTTCTTGCTTTCAAACTGCTAGGTTGGCAGGAGCTGGGGCCAGAGACAGGAGCTCACTCCATCACGCGGCACTCGGGTCTCGAACTGCCGAACTACCGACCCTCTGGCCTGCAGCTCAGTGTCTTAACCTTTGTGCTACACAAAACTATTGTTTCCTCTTGGATCTGCCGTGACCGTCTTCACCAGCTAGTGCTTCCCTCCCCGGCATTGCCCCTTACCTCTACTTCCCCCGTTAGATCTTTATACTTGTCTCTGATGACAGGCAGGGCAGGCTTCTCACTCAGGGTATTTGAGCGATCTCTGAACGGCTGCTCCAGGGCTGGCAAAGGTGAGGAGTGGTTTATCTCTCTGTCACCCAAGCTCAAGCTCCTTTTGTGAGATCCTGGAAAGGATGGGAGAGAAGGTTAAATAAGGCCTCCATGTTCAGAAGCAGTACACCTCTTAATACCAGCGGCTGGGGTCCTCTGTGCTCTGCTCAGAGGCGTTTCATGGCATCTGGTTGGCAGGTTGCTGGACTGCGTGAACCATTCGTTTAATCCAGAGTGGCTCTTCTGATGTTCCGAAGATACTGATGTTCCTAAGAAAAGACCCGGACTCTTCAGCCTTTCCTCTTGGGGAAGGTGCTCCAACCCCCTCACCCTCTTGGTTGCCCTCCTCTGTACTTTTATCACCAAGTCTTATCTTGGTGATCTTCATGCAGGGTCCAAAACTGTGCCAGCCAACATCAAGAGCCAGCGGGTGCTCTCACAGCCCTAAGGTATGCACTAATCATCTACTGAAAGGCGATCAGGATTCAGCTCCCTTGTTGAAGCTAAGCAGGTCGGGGTGCAGCAATCACCTGGAGGGGATACCAACATACGCCATTGCCTTGCTCCATGATGGGACAGAAGGCAACTAATAATCCCATTGGCCATGGTTAACTTGGGGATGGTGGCACCAACAAAGCACTGCCTCCAGTTCTCCAGCACTGACACAGGGCACAAAGACACAGTCAGTTTGGGGGACTTAAGCTATCTACAGCAGGGGTGTCAAACATGTTGCACGGGGGCCGGATCAGGCCCTCCTGGAGGGCTTCTTTCACACCCGCAGTGTCTTCTGCTTCTTCTTCCAGTTCTGCTGCTGCTGCGTCATTGTAGATTTGCAGCTTACAGATACACACCTGAACAGCATACTCAAGATTGTAACAGCACACAAATTTTGATGTAATAATTCAGAGCAAGATGTGTCAGTTATCACACACTGTTAAATAAACAAAATATTGCAAGAGTGCTAATGTTTTAAGCATGTTTTTATTTTAAGTTAAAAAAAAACCTTTGCGTTTTTGACCTTTATAAAGTTTACTAGGAGTAATGCCCATTGTGGGAAGAAATACAACGAGATCTAGAAGGAAGCTCCATATGAGTGTCCCGACTCTGGCTGGTGGGGCGGCAGAGGGAAGCGGAAAATGAAGGGAAGCAAGCCATGTTTCTTTCCTTCTGCTTAGCTATAAGGCACGGCTGTCTCAAGTCATTTTGCTGCCCCAAGTGGGTAGAATGGGAGGACAGCCTCATGGTAACAGATATGGTTCTCTCCACCTCTGACTTGTTTTTTGAGGGGGAGGGGGAGTTATGCAGTAGCAGCTAAGGTAGAAAAGCACCTCCTCCTGTGCCATGTTTTCTGGGTTCCAAGGGTCTGGAAAGTAGTTCCATAGCTGATTACACGGTTGCCAACTCTGGGTTGGGAAATACCTGTAGATTTGAGGGGTAGAGCCTAGGAAGGGCAGGATTTGGGGTGGGGAGGGACCTCAGTAGGGTATAATGCCATAGAATCCACTGCCCAAAGCAGCCATTGTCTCCTGGAGAACTGATCTTGGTCATCTGGACATCAGTATGTTAATTTGGGGCTATGCAGTCACAGCTAAGGTAGAAAAGCACCTCCTCCAGTGCCATGTTTTCTGGGTTCCAAGGGTCTGGAAAGTGGTACCATAGCCGATTACACGGTTGCCAACTCTGGATTGGAACATACCTGTAGATTTGATGGGTAGAGCCTGGGGAGGGCAGGATTTTGGGTGGGGAGGGACCTCAGTGCCAACTCTGGGTTGGAACATACCTGTAGATTTGAAGGGTAGAGCCTGGGGAGGGCAGGATTTTGGGTGGGGAGGGACCTCAGCAGGGTATAATGCCATAGGATCTACTGCCCAAAGCAGCCATTGTCTCCAAGAGAACTGATCTGGGTCATCTGGACAGCAGTTTTAATAGCTAAAGCCCTGACTGCTACGTCACATTGGCTGTCATACAGGGGCCCTCTCAGCAGGATATAAGGACACAGAGTCCACCATTTTCTCCAGGGGAACTGATCTCTGCCATCTGGAAAGCAGTTGTAATTCTGAGTGATCTTCAGCCCTCACCTGGAGATTTGCAGCCATGGTTTCCCCCAACAGACACTAAGGGGAAATTTATTTTACCTCAGAACATCAACAGTAAACTGTTTAGAACGTTAGAGGGAAAGGCCAGTGAGACCGCATATGCAAACGACCTCTGTGTTCCGAGGCAAAGGCGAATCAGGCCACATATGCAAATGACCTCTGTGTTCTGGCTGGCTGTGGGGGGGGAAAGGAAGAGCCAGTGGATAGGGAGACCCTCTGAATGACAGATCAGAGAGCGAACTGATTTTGGAGCGTGTTGAAATGTTCAGGGGAGTCCATGACCAAAATAGAATTATATATACCGGAGGATATCTCCGCTACCTGGCATTACATTTTATGACACACATGGCCCGGCCCAACAAGGTCTAATTTATGTCAGATCCGGCCCTCATAACAAATGAGTTTGACACCCCTGATCTGTGCCCTGGGCAACAGTCCAACCTCCACAATCACTAGCACAAGTCAGAGCGGGCCCAATTTACCCAGCCTTGGCATATGTCCAACCTTCCAAACTGCCAGGAACCTTTAAAGAGAAATAATTGGTGCTGTGGATGAAAGGCAGATGGGCAAGATACGCTGTGATGGTTATGGAGTTTGAAGGCTGGGTTGCCATTCCTGAGATGGGTAAAGTATGTGAAAGAGACATCTCTCAAGACAGAGAGGGTCACTTACAACTCGGGTTGCCAGGTTCCCCGGGTGCGTGAGGGATCCTCTGGTTTCCAGCGCTTCCTCCCACCCAGCACCAGCCTGCTGGCCAGCAGGGGGGAGTTACCACCCCAAATGCAACATGCCTGTGTCACCCGGAAGTGACATAGGCACATCTGTGACGTTGGGGGGGACATCCCCTCTGGTTTTTGGGAAGAACTCTATGGTAGAAGTAGCTTCAAACCATAGATTTTTGTCAAAAAGCCAGAGTGTCGCCCCAAATGTGCATGCGTACATCACCTGGAGGTGACTTAGGCACGGCGTGCTTCTTCCCTCCCCTCTCTCAAAGCATCCTGGTAAGTTCCCCGCTGGCTTGTCTTTTGGACATGGTGACCTAATTTACAACCTGCAGGGAAAATACGATAGCTCTTTGATGTGTCAACACCCTCTTGACTGGAAGGGGGCTATTCTGGCAGGCTTGAGCCCCAGGACCTGGAACCCACGTGGGGAGGGAGTCTGAAAAGGGAAAAGCAGCCACGCCTAGAGGAGGGGGGGAAACCACCCAATCTAAATCAACCCAGACTGAGTTCCTTTGTTTTGGGAAGCATGGGGTCACTCATGTGTGTGTGTGTGTGTGTGATGATCCATAGTTGTGATGAGGGATGACAGAGGAGAATAACGCTGGAAGATACTTGCAGGTTGAGACCCTGGCGGGGAGGACCATACAACCAGCAGGGTGAGATGTCCAAGGATTGTAAGTAATTAGCCAGTAACCTTCTTTTCACATTTTTAAAAAATGTTGCTCAGCTGTATTCAAAACCGTCTTGTAGTTACCCGGAGTTTGTGCCTTGAAGTAATGATGCTGTTTAACCAAAGAGCCTGCACCCTTCCTTACTCATAGCCTTGCTATTTGGCAGTGCCACAGAAGGGTCCCCCTCTCGTGACAATCCTCAGGTGACACTAAGTGGGCGGGGCAGATTTTCAAACTCCAAGGTGGTGGCGCGCTACCAAAGAGGGCAAAAAACAGAGGCAAAAAGTGCTCCCTCTAAGCTGTGGAGTCTTGTGAGCAAAAATTCTGCTTTCTGAGCTGCCGGCATTAAAGTGATTTAGCTACTGCATAAACTAGTTTGCTCTGGAGCCATCCTTCCTGAGCTAAGACAAAACTGTGTGAGCCGGAGGCTAAAAACCTGTGAGCTAGCTCACACTAACTCAGCTTAGAGGGAACACTGCTTTCTGTCCCAGCTTCCGGACAGGGCTATGGGCAGGGGGAGTCTGGAGTGGGGGGGAATCCCCTCTCATTCACAGGGCGGTGAAACTGTTCCACTACAACTGGCTCTCCCTTTGCAGCGGATAAACACTCCCTTAAAACTGTATGCTCTAAAGGTCTTTGCATTCTCCCTTGTTTTCTAGATTTCCATTTGAGGACGCTGGCACTGGACACCGTCTGTAGCCTTTCATATGTAACCTCCTGATCATCCTCTCACTTGTCACTCATCAATTCTGGCTGGTTTTGGAAGTGCTTGGGTGTTCTGCCCAGTGGGGCAAACAGCCAGAAGAAGAGGATGTGACATAGGTCTGGAAAGCGGCCCATCAAAACTGAGACTGCCCAGGCACTTGCTTGTGACTAAAAAGAGAAGTGTCCAGAGATCTGTTCATGAACCTTCCACATCTCGGCCGGCTCTGCTCTAGCAAACAAGTGCGACCAACTGACGACCCGGGTTGCTTACCTTGCACAGAGAGGTCGAAGGTTGCAAGCTCGCTCTTGATCATTTCTTCGCTAGATTTCATTTTTCCTTGGGAAGTGGCCAGTAAGAAGTCAAACTTGCTGATCTTTGGCTTCTCGCTCTGAAACTCTCCAAAGTCATCTGTGCCTTCTTTAGTTACACCCAAGGAGGCACCGCCGGCACCCACCTTTTGGATCGCAGCTGGAGCTTCGGCCACTTCTCCCAAAGGCCTTGCGAATTCCCCGAAGTCTTCCACGTCATCATCGCTCTGGTCCACAGACGGAGAATCTGAACCTTTGAAGTTTGCAAAGGGCAAAAACTTCACATCCTGGAGAGCATCCTCGCTAGCAAAAGTTGTTACTTTAGAAACGGTGGTCATGGTGATGTTTTCCGAACTGCCAAACAAGGTCTCTTTCTTCTGGAGGACAGAGGTAGCAGAGGAGGAGCCACTTCCGGGGGGAAGCGGGAAGGAGGGGAACTTCCTGCTCTGGTAGGTGTCTTCCTTATCGGACCAGTCATAGCTTGGAAAGCTACTCAGACTAGAGCCATGGCTGTAGCTTCCAAAGGGGGCACCTTTCAAGTCATCAAGATCTGCAAACAAGAACAAAACATTTAAAGCAGTGGCTGCCAGTTGGTAAACATGCCACAAGTCCAGTCTGGGGAATGAGAGCATATATCATCCTTGCAAGTATCTGAACATACATGGAGACCATGCGCCTTGGGAGTGGGTTTGCGTCTTCTCCTGTGGTCCCAGCAGAGAATCAGCACAGCAGAGCACTAGAAGGACAGGTGGGCAGAGCAGGTCCGACTCTATGCCGTCACCAGAGAGCTGTGTGTAAAGCAGGAATCCACAGCCTGCATAAGTTATTTGCTCCACCCCTCTTCTTTTGCATCACCTGTCCTGGACTTTGGGCTGTCCTGAGCAAGTTCTTTTGGACTATCATGGCTACAGAAGGAGCCCTGCAAAACCTTATTTGAAGAAGAAGAGGAGATTGGATTTATACCCTGCCCTTCACTACCCAAAGGTGTCTCAGAGCGGCTTACAAACTCCTTTCCCTTCCCCTCCCCACAACAGATACGCTGTGAGGTAGGGCTGAGAGAACTCTTGACAGAAACTGCTCTTTTTCAAGAACAGCTGTGCCAGAGTTATGGCTTGCCCAAGGTCATCCAGCCAGGTGCAAGTGGAGGAGTGGGGAATCAAACTCGGTTCTCCCAGATTAGAGTCCACGCACTCAACCACGACACCAAACTGGCTCTTCAGTGGGAATTACCCCACGTACTTTCAGGGCTTCAGGCACATCTTCACCGCCACGATGACTACACACTTGGATCTGTGTGGTTTTTTTTAAAAGCTGATGTCCCTAGGAAGAACTCTGCACTCCATATGGGTTATGGGGGGGGGGGCGTTCCCTGTGCTTCTGCGCAGCATCACAGCATAGACATGCTTGTGGCTGTGCTGGCTGGTCCTCCCCTTGCACCCCGGGTTCCTGCCAACTGTGGCAAAAGTGCTGCCAAGCCAGCCACTCCAAAGCAGCAGATTGCCTATAACTGCACCTTGCTGCCTGTAACCGGCCATAGATAACAGAAACACCTATGCAAATGACTGTGCGTTGAATTTAGTTGGATGAGAAAAGGAGGCTCATTTAAGGGTTTGTGCCACCCTATCCGACACACAGGCTGCCTCCCGTCATACTTCAGGCCCCTTCCCTGAATTTTTAGGTTTAAAAAAAAAATTGGAGACAATCTCTAGTTGTTCCTTTGCAGAGATTGAAGGAAAACCAGCAGGCACCATCCTACCTGGGGAGACAGAAATCTCCCTTCTACTGTCTCAGCCGATGAGTGCAACGGGACGGAGATGACGTGCAAGCGCGTGGCCCTCCTGTTTCATTGAAAGGTCAGTTTCATTCAGAGTTCCTGACTCTGGGGCCAAAGCGCTGTGACTATGGATACAGGCACACATGCGTTGCTTTCGTCTGAGAAGGCTCAGCAGAACCACCCACCGCCAACATACATCAAACACATTATGGAACCACTGATACTCACCCGATTGTTACGTGGCTTACGGCAGCGCAAAAGAGTTTGCTCCTCTGCAGACCACCAAGTGTGGTGAGAAGTGTGCAAAAATAGGACTTCTGACAGGCTATATTGTTTCGTCATTTCGCTCTCTCTCTCTCTCTCTCTCTCTCTTTTTAATGTTTAAACCCAGATGCAAAACAATAGCCAAGGGACACTATTTATTGTTTGTTTGTTTAATGGTAAAAACATCAGGGACCAGCGGCCTCCCTTCTGCATGCTTGGCATTTGCTTTTGAGGCATTAACAGCTGTCGATCTGAATTAAAATCTCAGCTGCTGCTCAAGTCTGTTTACAAGGAACTTATTGGCTATGCATAGTGGAGGAATTGGATTGCGGTCAACTTTCTGACCTAGTGCGCCTTTCCTGACAGTGGGCTCACTGCATGACCAGGTTTGCAACAGCAGGTACATGTCAACAATTAAATGTAGGTGGGTCCAGATTTTCAAGGCGAGAGACATTCAGAGGTGGTTTGCCACTGCCTTCCTCTGCGTAGCAGGCCTGGGCTTCCTTGGTGGTCTCCCATCCAAGTACTAACCAGGACCAACCCTGCTTAGCTTCCAAGATCCAATAAGATCGGGCCAGCCTGGACCATCCAGCTCAGAGAAGATCTTCCTTACAGTGGGGTGTTTCAAGAACAAACAAGATGCCACATGTGGACAGTTGGTGGGCCTGGAGGTGAGGCATGACCTCCCTCACACCCCTTCCCTTTGCCATGCTGCCCTTAACTGAGGCCTGGTTCACACGTGCAGGAAAGTCGTGCCAGAATGCAGCATGCCAATACGGAATGCTCTTTTGCAGACAAAGCATTCCGTGTACACGGGACACCAGTATGGCCAGGAGAAAGGTTCCACCTCGACTTTTTTCCTGCCATGCTGGTACGGCATTAAGACACAGGGAAGCCTTCCAAGAAACACCACTGTGCTGGCATTCTGAAATACCACAGTCCATTCCACCACCGTGTTCTCCTCCACACGTGAACCAGGCCTGACGGTCGGAACAGCCCTTAAGCAGCCAAGAGCCACAAGTCTGAGGGAAAGCAAAGGAAATTTCAAACCTGTCTCCACCAGCACCAGGTCTTCCAATCTCCTTTTCACCAGAGCACTTTTGATAAGCCCATTTCAGACTGACTGGCACCCATTGGCATCATCCGCCTCCTCAGAGCAGCCTTCGGCACTGTTTTAAATCTGACATCAGAGGACAGTTTCTACGGCCAGTTTTCGGTCCTCTGCAACCAAGCCGGGAAGCCCGCTGGCTAAGGTCAAATGGCACACTGTGGTGCGTCACACAAACCATGACCAAATTTCTCTGGCTCCAGAAACCAGTCCAAACATTTAGAAGCCAGACTCATTTCAGCCTTCAGTTTTATGTGTGGCCCTATATTCTAATTATTGCTATGAGGAAAAAAATACCAGGCACCACAATGAAATTTCTCGGTGCCGTGGCAACCTGGCATCTGGGATTTGCCAAGCCCTGGTGCAACATGTCGGGTCTATGTTTCCCCCACCCTGGCTTCGACTGAGGAAGTCAGATATCAGATGCAGCTGGGGACGCCTTTCTCAAGCAATTCAGGTTAATACAGGAGTAGGAGGAGTAGGAGTTGGTTTTTATACCTCGCTCTTCACTACCTGAAGGAGTCTCAGAGCAGCTTACAATCGCCTTCCCTTTCTCTCCCCACAACAGACACCCTGTGAAGTGGGTGGGGCTGAGAGAGCTCTCTTGAGGACTGCTCTTGAGAGAACAGGTCTGAGAGAACTGTGACTGACCCAAGGTCACCCAGCTGGCTTAATGTGAAGGAGTGGGGGAATCAAACCCAGTTCTCCAGATTAGAGTCCGCCACTCTTAACCACTACACCAAACTGGCTCTACTACTGTGGCCTCTGTCTCCCCCCCCCCCGGGTGCCATTTCCCCAACTTGTCCCACTGGACACACTGCACCCCTAGGGGTGTTCTGCATTAAGAAAAAATTGCAGGGGATAAGGCTGAGCCCAGTCTTCCCGAATATCATACTCCTGACACGAAACAGGCGCCGTGTCCTTGAGAAAGGAGTCCCCTCCCACCTGGCCTCTGAATGTCTAAGTCAAGGTCAGAGGAACCTGAACACACGACAGGTGCCCTTTAGAAGCTACACTGGAAAAATGTTTCTCCAGAAGTCTCCCTGAAGTCTTTCAGAGCAAAGCCTTGTGAGGACTGCAACTGCCGAGCTACTGTGATGGAAAGAAGAGCACATCTTACTAATGCCTGGATGACCTGGGTTCAAATTCCCTCCCAGCCATGAAGCTTGGGATGGCTTCAAGGAAGTCGCATCTCCTTATGAACTGCCCCTTTTTCTCTGGTATAAAGCAGGGCCAAGAGAAGGAGTGAACTGTGGCCCAGAAGACACGCCCCCCCTTCATATTTCACCCGTGCCCCATGAGCTCTCCAGGAGACCGTCAAGTCCCCCCGCCCCCTCGCCTTATTCCCCGCTAGTGCTGGCAGTTGGGAAACTCCTGGAGATTGGGGGATGGCAGCAAGGCTCCCTCTAAGCTGTGGAGTCTTGTGAGCAAAAACTCTACTTTGTGAGCTACGGGCATTCAAGTTGTGAGTGAGCGATTTGGCTCCTGCATAAATTAGTTTGCTCTGGAGCCATCCTTCTTGAGCTAAGACAAAAATCTGTGAGCTGGAGTCTAAAAAAAGTGAGCTAGCTCACACTAACGTAGCTTAGAGGGAACACTGGATTGCAGGGTTTGGGGAGGTACTTTGGTGGGACATAATTGTCAGCTATGCTGCCATGGGGGTTGGGATGGTCAGGCAGAGTCAGTGTAATTGCTATTGCATTCCTTTCTGTGCTTCAAGCTGAAATGCTTATCTGTAACAATGTGCAGATGGGAGTTGTGTTGTCTGTTTTTTTCCAGGTCCCAGCTTCGGCTAGAAACCGTTTGCTAGCTTTATCCCGCGCGTGGGAGGGTGCCTAATTGGCCAGCGCAGTGGGGGGAGGGTGCTTACGAATACCCTATATCTTATTATGTCTAAGGAGCAACTGCCATTCTTAACAGTGACTATGTTAACGCATCTATAGCTCTTCAATAAAAGTGTTACCTTTCCTGAAAGCATGTACTCCGTTGTTGGCTGTGGGTTCTGACACTAATGCCAGAGTCCATCCTCCAAAGTAGCCATTTTCTCCAGGGGAGCTGATCTCTGTAGTCTGGAGATCAGTTGTAATTCTGAGAGATCTCCAGACCCCACCTGGAGGTTGGTAACCCTACCCCCCACTTGCAACTGTGGAGATAAGAACAAGGTTTACAAGAGAATGTCACTTCAGGAACCTTTAATTAATATGATGCTTTTCTCCTCAGTGGCAACTCAATGTGGCTCCCATTGTTCTCCCCTCCTCCATCTTATCCTCACAACAACTCTATGAGGTAGGTTAGGCTGAAAGAGTTTGCCTGGCCCAGGGTCACCCAGCAAGCTTCCATGGCAGAGTGCGGATTCGAAACCTGGACTCCCAGATTCTGGTCCAACACACTAACCGCTACACAT